GTACAGATTGTTTTTTTACTTTTTTGTATCTAGCTGCAGCAGTCTAAACTAGATGCAGAAACTGTGAAAAAAAATCGATGCAAAAGGCGATGCACTGTTAATGCATCGCGCTAAATATCGCCTTTTTTATCATTTCAATATTCCTGTATTGGTAGGCGATGCATCGCCTCTTGCATCTAGTGCATCGCTTTTACTCGATGCATCTAGATAACTAGATTTTTTTTACTCATTTATCTAGATGCTCCAGCGAATGCATCTAGATATTTTTGCTGGGCAGGTTTTGCTTGAGCCCTTGTTTTCTCATTCACATTCTAGGCATATAGTTCTTTATTCGTATGCTTAGTTAGACCATAGTCCATTCTTTTCTCCTTGTTTTTCTCTGATTTTTTTATATACAAACAGACAGATACAACAATTTCTCTCTCTTTGTAACGTGACATAGATTTCCATCCTTTTCTTTTGTGTTAGTATATATTATCTGTATACAGTCATTTTAGTTAGTCCTATTCAGTGTGCTTATGTGTGTGTGTGAGCGTGTGACAGTCGTTTTTATTATATTCATTTCTTCCTCTTGTTGCACAATGAATTTTACACACTGGCACTTATTTCATTTAATTTGTCAAACAGAGCTTAGGACCTGGGGACAAAGAGAGTATTTATCACTCTAGCATTGCTGGTATATGATACTATTGCTCAAAGCTGATCGATTTTCTCACAGATATGAGGTCGGAAGGGGAACCAAGGGTCTAGAACCCCATAAAATTGTATGCTCTTTCATTCTAGATACCTTTGGAGAAGATCTGAAATGGGACCTATCCTCATTCTTATTGCACCTCGTCCTTTGATCTTTACATTTAGCAACTATAGCTATTTCATATTTGAAAACAGCGTGTGCGTGACGGATAACGTATGTAACAGTCTTCTGTTTTACATGTTAACTTTATTCACGATAGAATCTGCATGCAAAGTAGGTTTTTACTAGAGAACGCAACAATTCTTGAATTTGTTACATTGCATAATTTAAAGAAACAACGTAGCACACGTACTTGTGGTAATAATTGAATAAAGTCATGAATGTTTGCTTTCTTGGCTGCTTCAATTATTTCTTTCATTGATATTTGACGACTATGATCACCATAAGCAATATTTTCTTGAACAGTCATGTCGAACAAAGTAGGCTCTTGCGATATGAGACCAATTTTTGAACGTAACCATTGAAGGTTTAACTTTTTTATGTCGTGACCATCAATGTACTACAAACTCATAAATACCTCTTGCAGCCACCCAGCGAGATATTTTTATCATGACAGAACGAAAAAAGGACCACCACCCGAGTGAGGAATCGAATCCCAGGTCTTCCGATTACCGGTCGGATATACTATTATTACAGTACCGGGCTGTCTTCTTCCGTCTTAGGATCTGGATCCTAACACCTCTATTTCTCTTTCTAAAACAGAGGATAGTGTTGATTACTTACCAAATATCCTCCGCTAACATCATAGAAACGCTCAATGAGTTGTATAATCGTCGATTTTCCACAGCCACTTGCACCTTTAAATCATCATCTGAATCAATAGAAAGAAAGTCTATGAATATTAACTCTTACCAATAAGAGCAATACATTGACCACGGTTAATATTCAATTTAAATTTATTCAACACCGCTACTTCTGGTCGAGTCGGATATCGAAACTGAACAAGATCAAATTTAATATTGCCACTAAAATTTGGCTAAAATGTAGGATGAGACAGTTCTAATTTATACGTATTCTTATGTGAACACAATCGGCGATTTTTCAAAGAAGACATACAATCTCTTTTCCTTGTGTTGAGCAATTATCAATCGATGGCTGTCGTTCAAATAAATCAATAAAACTTTGTGCAGATGTTATAGATTTACCTAACTCTGTTATTCTGAATAAACGAAAGTTTTTCTTTGATACTGTTCGTTTTACAAAACATCAGTATAAAACTCACAAGGCGAAAATAATTTGAAATGGTTGTATTGTAAATAAAATAAATGCTACTACCCTTAAAAAGATAGTCAGAATATTAAAGAAATATGAATTTTGACGACTCGTCTTACATCATTATATTTTCAGTTTTAATTTGTTCATGTTTAACTAATACAAAGACGGTTACATATGTTGCTGCTAAAGTAAAATAAAAATTCGACATTGCCACAGCATGTGTAATTGCTTTAATATATGAATATGTTTTTGACAATCTATCAAATAAAATAAGTTATTATAATTGTCATTCACTCTTACCTGTGTTTCTCTTACGTGTATGTTTGGTGAATATACCTGGAATACTTTTGTACAAAAAAATCTTCTTTAGTCAATTGTACAACTGTACGAATATTTTGAAGTGTTTCTGTAGCGAGCTAAAAGCAAATAATTGAATATTACAGGATATTTTGTTATAATCAAAATGACTGTACTTACTACTGAAGCTTGCTCTAATATTTCTTTCGTTTTCTTTGACAACACTATTTCGAAATATACCTGCAGATAAACCATTGCAAAGGATAATAGAATACTTCCCATAATAATTAATGTTAATTGCCAACTAACTATCAAGCACAGTATAAAACCAATAAGAAGCGTCGAAGAACATTCTATTAGCAAACCGATTCGAAATCCTGTTATCTAAAGACATGCAATACTTTTACCCATTTGTTTTTGGATAGTTGTTTATAAAAGCTTACATTTTGAATAGCTAATGCGTCCGTCGATAAGCGTTCACAAAGTACTCCACTATGGTTCTCTTGTCTATCAAACCAACCGACTTCTTGTTTCAACATACATTGAATCGCTTTTGCGCGTATACGTTTTGTTAATTCAGCACCCGATATCGAAAAAAATAAATTCTGTGAAAAAGAGACAAGAAATTCGAATATCCAGGCTACAAAAAAGTGTAAATATTTCTTTTACTTGCATCAGTCTTGATAACAAGATAATTAAACCCAATGCAATCAGCAATGTACAATATAATCTAATTTCGTGCTGTTGTTTGACTTTGTTTGGCTCCATATACACCTGTAAAAAAGTGACATACGTAAAGAATATTACAGAGTTTTAACGAGAGAAAGATTCGACATTACAATGATTATTTGTGCAAATATGAAACAGAATAGTGGACTCGTAGCACCATTGGTAATACATGCGAGACAACCAAGCAGAATATAAAACCATTCTGGTCTGCTTAATCTCAACACTTTCATGAATATTGAATTTTGAGTGTTATTCGTTAATTTCTATTAATCAAAAATATAAACGTAAGAGTAAGGGCTGAATATACAGCACTACAGAATAGTAGTAGCACATATCATGTATCAGAGTTCGAACTGCGAAAGTCGAAAAACGACTAGCCCTTTCTTCTCGACGATTTAGTCGCTCGTGTATAGAAGTATGTAGTTTTTCTAATCTTTTACTTGTATTGATACTATTGTTAGAATCACGGCTTCTGTTGACTAAGAGATGAACTTGTGAACGAATATGACTGGCAAGAAAGTTTCTAGATTTTGGACGATTTTTGGAAGTTGTCTTTCTTGATTCGACTCTCTGTTTTTAATAAACTGTATTTCTTTCAAGTAATAAGAACCACGGTTAAAACTTGGTAGCAGCAAGTAGATAGAAGTATAACAATGTCTACACTACGCGGCGATTTAAAGCCCACTATAGCTAGACGAAATACTAAAGAAGACACATGGACGCTCAATTCATTGAGATCAATTAACAACAGAGCCCGACGGATCAATATCAACTTGAAACTTTATTGAAATTATCAAGCAATACGTCCTTTCGAAATAAAGCATCCTATAACACAACTACTAACTACATAATCCTAAACTATAACTCGAAATAAAACGTAACAGCACTACAGAAAGGAAGAACGTTGAATGCATAATTGGGACACACAATAAATGTACAATGTCCGAGAAGAAGAATAAACACCTCCCGCTCTCTAGAGGATCTATGGTTTCTAAGATGGTATCTTTACTGATTGTGCAAGTGGCAACGAACTGACTGGTAGTACATATACGAAAACGCAGTAGTAATTAGTGCTACTAAACATGTACTTTCTCTAGGGATCTAATCTCCTAAAAAATATTTAAAGACAGAATATCGAAAAAGGTATTCACATTTGCCTTAGTAGAAGCCCATATTCATTTCAAATTGTGTAGAAAAATCAACCGGATTCTTAGATTACTAGTTGTTATATTTTAAAAGATGCCGAAGGTTTCTTCTCTGCTTCTAAACCTCAATCGGTTTCAATGAGACTCTAGTGTGAATACTGAAATCTTATTTCTATGTCGTTTTCTAACTATGTCTAAGCATACACTGTAAAAAATGATGTGTCCTAAAATATGCCCTCAAAAAATACATGGAATGGACACATTTTGTTCTATAGGTAATGCCGTCACACGACATTACCGCGAACTTTTCGTAGTACACATTTGGGTATTTTTGGCAATACGTGGTGGGCGGTTGGGGTGTTGGCAGCGTGAGAGTAAATTCGAAAAGTAGTTTCACACAGAATATTTTATATATTTATTTATATATATATTTTTTTGATGTTGTATGAATTTTCTTGAGGTTTTCAAGTGCTCATCTGATTTCTAACTACACTGTAATCTTGAATTAATTTCTAGTTTATAGAAAATCGACTTGAATTTCCATAAATTCGCTTTTCTGTAAACTACAAAATCCCCGGTGATTTTCCAGTTTATAGAAAATCAATGGAATTCCTATAAATAATTTTCAAGAATCTGGAAATTCTGGAAGAATCTGGTATAATTTTGTTATACTTCTTAAAAGTTAAGAACTAAGAATCTGTCACACCGTTTCGCTGCAAACCTCCACGTTTTTGAATCACAACTAAATCGGCTTTCTTGTTTCATTTGTCGCACGAGCATGATCTTCAGAACATGGATCCCGTTACATTCACTCAGCGCACGTCACGATCGCGTTCTTCTCTTACAATCGCTGCATGTTACGGTCACGATGGGACTTCGGTACAAATCATATTCACCGTTTTGTTTTACGTAGATGCCTAGTATATAACTCACATTGGTTTTCGAAAAAATTTCAAAATCTTGTCATATTTTAGCGATTAATCACAGTTAGAAATGCATAACGGTGGTAACCAAAAAAAAGGGATCGCACCACGCGTTACGCGATCTCGTCGTGAAGTTTTAAAGAGACTTGCAGCGTGACATGCGATAAGACAAATAGACTTCCGATGCTTATTTAGATGCATATCCAGAGTAGAATCAAATGAGACAGTTAGTTGTGTTATCTTAGATATTGGTATGGTGGTGAACTCTGTTTATTCATACTTTTTAGGTTGCTTTTAAAGATTTGAACGTAGAATGGAATCAGATTAAAAAAAATCCTGATTTAAAGCAAAAATTGCAGAATATCAATGTAATCGTAAAGTGACACTGAATCTTGATCCAGTTTTGGACTAATAGTAAACAAAAAAGCTTTTTTCAAATAGGTCAAAAATCAACTTCGTACAATAGTGAAATAAAACGACTGAAAAATATTGAGTAAAATTTATTTTGCGATATGTATATGTCGTATCTAAGTTAGTATGTTTATCGAAGTTATAACTTCGATAGAAATTTTATAGAAGTTACAACTTCAGTAGTCCATCTCATCGAAGTTATAACTTCTATAAACATACTTCGTGGAAGTTATAACTTTGATGACGTGCTCTATCGAAGTCATCCTGATTATGCTCAACGGTAAAGAGTTGATTATTTGAATGATAT